CCCTCTCCCGCGCCGCCAAGGGGGTCCGACGTTTGGGGAACGCCAGACCCCAGCGCCGGTCACGCGTGGGGGGTCCGGCGTTCCGGAAACGCCTGACCCCCCTTGGCGGTGCGGGAGACGTGCGGCGTTGGACTGACAGCCTCCCTCTTCCGCACCGTCTTGGGCGAGACGGGGTTTTTCGGGCCCCCTCGGCGGTGCGGGAAAGAGATGGGACCCGACATTGGAAACGATTTCGACCAGAGTGACGAGGGGGTCCAGCGTTCCCAGAATGCCGGACCCCAACGCTGGTCACGTGTGGGGTCCGGCGTTCCTAGAACGCCGGACCCCCTCCGCGGTGCGGGAGAGGGACGGGGACCCCTCGGTGGTGCGGGAGAGGGACGGGGAACCCTCGTCGGTGTGGGAGAGGGACGGGGACCCCTCCGCGGTGCGGGAGAGGGCCAGGGACCCCTCGGCGGTGCGAGAGAGGGACGGGGACCCCTCGGCGGTGCGCGACACATAGTGCTCCGACGAAACTAATGTCGTCCACACCGCGGAGGGGTCCGGCGTTCCCTGAACGCCGGATCGAGCGTGTTGGTGTTGGTGCCCCTTGTTGTGGTCTTCAGGCAACAAATGCTCGTTCAGGTCACTCAATTCCTTTCTCTTGTTGTCTTTTCGTTTTTTCCCCCTTGGCTTCCTTCAGGTAAATCAACTTCGGCCTCCGTCCCGGGACCACGTGCATACGGCAGGTCTAAGCTTTACAACGATAAACCCTGGGCTCTTGACAGGGTTGGTGGTCTTCATACATCTGGTTGTGGAGCCGTCGTGTTCTTGAGTGATGACAACGGCGGGAGTTGGTACTGTTGCGGAGGTGTGGAGAAATCAGAAGCGGGGAGGACTAACTACGATGGCAGGAAGTTTAGGACCTTCTTCCTTACGTCTGTCTATGACGGCGAGGGGAAGAATTGGGTCAAGGAAGACAAGAAGGTGTCTCTTGACCTTCGGCTCTTCCAAGGTTACGGGGTCAAGGCTTTGTCGATGAAAGCGTTTGACGTGCGAGGGAACGCAACGGAGTTCCAAATGCTGGATCCTGAAAAGTTTCTCTCTAAAACCAATGGCTACCGCGTCACAGGGTCCCTCCCCGTTGTCGACAACACTTTCTTGCTCAGCAAACCTTTGGTCCAGTTCAACAGCCCGACGGACCAGCTGGCACCTACCGTCATGCGATACAGGGAACAGTTCGCGAGGCTGCCTGCTGCCCAGCAAGTTGATTGTGTTTTCCTGCCCTTTGACGCGGGGTCCAAACGTCACCAAGAGCCGCCGACAAAAGTGGGTGCAAAGAGGAAACAATTGCCGACTGCCCCGCTTTCGGCCGATGCAGTCGCCCGGCCTCTTCCCCCTCCGGTTGAGCCCTCCGATCGATAAGGTAGCGATGCAGCGGAGCAATCCAGCGAGGCCACAGACTATGACGGCAGAGCTCTGCGCCATCTGGCTGGTCCACAACATCGTTCCAGGGAAGGTACAAGTACCTTCGACAACGACGACAGCGCGGGGCAAGAGGGGGAGGGCGGTGGTGAGGAGGGGGACGACGGTGACGAACAAGATGCTGACGGTGAGGACAATGGCATAGACGATGAGAGAGACGTCGGTGGTGAGGGATTCGATGACACTCGCTCCTCCCAATGTGGACGCCCACGCAACGAAAACGATTCGCGGGCGTGTCGTGGGGTTGACGCCTACGGCGGCGCTGTCGCGGATGGTGCTGGTGACCAGCCTCCCGAGGGGTGTCGCAGTCGCATAACCAGGCAAGGGATGGAAGAGACAAAAATGCCTCACGGGGAAAGAGGAAAAGGGGAGAAGCGACAACCTCTTCTGCGAGTCAATCGAAACAGGCGAGGGCTGACGCTGTCAACGAGGCTCGTGGAGCGTTGACGGCATCCCAGGAGGCGCGGGGTACAAGGACAGGTGGCGGGGGGGGGGCAAGTGCCAGTCGTGGCGGGGGTGGTGGGGGGCGGTAGGAGAGGCTCGCAGAGGGCCAGGACACATGAGCTGTGGGACTCGGGGGATGAGGGCGAGGGGGTGGGGCCTCGCATGCCCGAAGACGTCGACGACCTCGTTCAGCACGCGGCGCCCCTAGACACAACACGATGTTTCTTTCTCGAATACGACGACCAAGGCTTTGCCAGGCAAGACGTCCGTGTTGTTAACGTCGACGTCACAAGAATCAAACGCATTCCCCGTGGGCCTATCCTCTACAACCACCGCTCATTATCTGATAACATTGTGAGAGGCATCGTGAATGCCATAGAAAGCTCCATCACTGTTGAACCGGGGGCGTGGGATAGACCTGACCTTGTTCTTGCGCCAGTTGACCCCAACGTCGTCATCGACGGGCAGGGAAGGCGAATCACGCCGGATGAGTTCTTTCAAAGAGACTCTGCAGAGTTCGATTGGTACGCAATCTGTGGTCAGCATACCGCCGAGACCATGAAACGGTTGGTGGAAAAGGATTCCGCCGCGGTCAAAGTCTATGGCCTCCGCTCGTACTCGAAAGTGCGAGTCGTCTTTTTCGACGATGACCATACACGAGGGTACTTCAATGTCTCCGCCTTTGACAACACACGGGAGAACCGCGCCATGATGGTATCATTCCAAGACGCTGTGCGTGATACGAGGCAATGGTGGATCGACAACGACAGAATAGAGGCCCCCAAAGCCAAACAGATTCCCAACTACTCTTCCAAACTCTTCCAAACTCTTCCAAGCCAAATTGACAATGCATTGAAGAGGACGGAGGTAGTACTGACAATGCATTGAAGAGGATAGGGATAAGCAGGGATATGGGGGGAGAAGTACTAGGGGGCGCCAGTAAAGTCTACTGAACTTGCTGGGAACCTCCTGGAAACCTGCTGGAAACTGGGTCCAACGTCCCTCAGTCGCTATCTATCGCTACATATAAAACCTGCTTCGCTTGCTGAAAACAGGGTCTCATGCGACTGGTAGGATTTCGGCCAGGGCCAGCGGGTGGGGTGGGAAGGGATCTGCGAAGTCTTGAGCAGGTCGTAGCGGGGTGCCGGGATCAATTGTGGTCCAATCGTGAAACATCAGCTGGTAGTCTCTTACTATCTCAGTCCGGGGTTCTCCCTGCGCTTCCCTTTTAGGTTGGCGGCCGGTCCATGATACCTTGGCCACCCATCCCTCCCTCTCTCCGCCTAGCCAGTCGTTGCTAAATGTGGAGATGATCCTGTTCATGCCCTCCCAGGTATTCATCGAGTCGAGCTTATCTTTAGTTGTCTTCCACTGGTCCGCTATCTCGTGGTCGACCAGTGTCCGGATTTGGTCAAGGGCCTCACCGTCTTCCACCCTCGCCCTTTCTATCTCAAGACAGCATCTTCTCCACCATATAGTCCACAGGATACTCCGTCTGCCTAGGTTGCATATATTTTCCTCGAATGTCTTCCCCCTGGTTGGAGGGTAGTACCCTAAGAGAAGGGCCCTCCAGTCCCATGGCCAGACTGCCCCAGGAACTATGTGACGCCAAATCCTGTCCCAACTTCTCCATAATAGCATTGATGCGGGGCATTGGAGGAATATATGTTCGATGGTCTCATCCCTCTTTCTCCCTAGGTAGCTCAGGAGACATTTATGGCACCACGGTAGCGCCTTCCCTTGTTGTTCCAGGCGGGTATGGTCTATCAGCCAATCGTTGGTTGGTAGGCACCTGTGCTCAATCTGCCACTGGAGGGCGGAAATTTTAGCGGGTCTCCTGTTGTAGTGTGCAAACCACCGGATGGGTTTTAGGAGACTGCGGTCTATATTGAGATGACAATACCATCTGTCTTCAACACGATCGCGTAATCTGCGTTTGGGTCTGAGCATCCGATAAGCAGATTTAGATTTTAAGTTGCATAGTGCTAACGCTTTTACCTCTCCCTTCCTGGTTGGGATATTCATGGTCCATTGCCACTCGTCAGGGTCCAGGGGGAGGTCCTCGATTGGAGTCATTGGGCGAAACGTCCTCTGGTGATCTCCCTCCGCAATGACCTTGATGCGATAAACTTCCCTTTGGTCCTTCCATATGAAGTGTTGTTGGTTACAACGCAGTCTGTCATCCTTTAGAACAGAGAAGGTTTCAACGAGCACGTGTGTGCGGTCTGCGAGGTGTGAGTCTGACGCGCACCGTACACACCCTTCGGAATCCGATATTAGGCGGTTTCCGAATAGGGGTTGCCTAAAGATTTTTTCCCACCTCTCTGGAACAGGCCGGTTGGGGGGGGGGAGCCTCCTCCATGTACGTATGAGACACACCCAATAACTATCGGTAGGGTCCCTGTTGCTGTATTTCCTGGGTAACCTCCAGTACCTGTCTTCCAGTCATACGCAGGGATCAATTTCAGGTGGAGATTCCGGGGCGAGGTCAGAGATCTGTGTCAGGGCAAGGGGGGCCCATGGGGAGGATGGTGAGAATATGATAAGTTGAAGCCAACGAATCGAGAGGGCCTGGAATTGTGTGGCCAGGTCCACAATTCCTAGACCACCTTTATTCTTGGGCTGGATCACCGAGTCCCACGCTACTCGGCTTATGACGTGGGTGATGTTGCTATCACCTCTCCACAGGAAGGTCGCCAACTGTTGTTTCAATGCCTTGAGTCCTCCGTTACTCATAGGCCACAGAATGGCCTTATACCACAGTGTGGCCAGGATCACATTATTGATGACAAGTGTCCGCCCAAAGATGGATGTGCGCTTATTGTTCCATTTGTCAAATTTAATCTGTGCTGGTCCTGTCAGCCATATGTCGTTCGATGTTGGCCTTCCTTTAGCAGTGATCAGTGCCCCTATAATTCTCAGGGGGTCCTCAGGGGGGAGCCATGTGATCCGCGGGTTTTCTGGAGGTCTGCCCCCTTGGTGGTGCATCCACCATCTCATAGTGTTTTGTCCCCAATTTACAGTCATGTCCGACAGGCGGCATAATTTGTTCATAAGGTGCTGGATTTCTTCCATGTTAGCCTCGGACGCTTCTACCATTATGGTAAGGTCATCGGCAAACAAGGAGCAGATGGGTACTGCCTCTTTCGGGATATTCGCTATCTTAATGCGTGTGAGGTCTTTGTTCTGTCACAGATTAGCTGATAGAGCTTCCATAATTACCACGAAGAGATAGGGGGCAATGGGGTCCCCTCGTCTCACTGACCGTTGGAGTTCGAATGGGGGTGTCACAGACCCACTGACCTGAACACAGGCTGTGGCATTTTTATTAAGGATCTTGACCCAACGCCGGAAGGCGGGTCCGAAGTTCATTTTTTCCAAGCACGTGTCTAGAAATTCCCAGTCCATATGGTCATATGCTTTTTCGAAGTCTATAAATATAATGGTCGCATTTGCCTCTTTTCGGCGCGCCAATTGGGCCACGTCATTGACCAGCAAAATATTTTCTTGAATATTCCTGCCAGACATAAACCCCGTTTGGGTTGGGTGAATGACCTCCTCCAATACTGCCTCCATGCGGTTGGCCAGCGCCTTGGAAAACATGTTATATATCACTGTGAGTAGCGTAATAGGTCTGCAATTTCTGATGTTCATTTTGTCGCCTTTTTTATACAAGAGAGATAGCACTCATTTCCCTACAGTATCCCCCATCTCCCCGGCTTCCCAAACTTTCTGGTAATACTCCCAGAGGTCGGCACTGAGATCCGTCCACATGGTTTCCCAAAATTATTTGGGGAAGCCGTCGATACCAGGGGTTTTTTCTTCCTTCATTTGAAAGAGTGTTGTCCATATTTCTCCTTTGGTCAGCTTCGTCTCTAGTTTGTCTCGCTGTCGAGGAGAGATATGTCGGTCCATCAGGAGTAGGAAGTCCTGTATTTCCCAGATCCTTTCTTCCCCGCGGGGATAGGACTTGGGAGGTGTATAGTTGTTTGAAGAACTTCCTGGTGATTAATGTGCAATGAGCCGTGTCAGTGGCAATAATGGTGTTGTCATCAAGGTAAAAAAAAGTTTCGATGACTGTTCGTCGTGCTCGTGCGGTGGTCATGGAAAAAAAATGAGTGTCCATGGATGCCTTGTAGGTAAGTTTAGCCATTTTCCCTCTGATTCGGATTTCTTGCCATCCATGTTGTGCATATTGTAGGAGTCGGTCTTTGGTGTTTTGGATAGAGTCTATGAGATGCAGTGATTCCTGTGCGGAGGTGAGGTGTTGTAACTCTGGTCACTCTGCCTGTTTTCCAGGGTTATTAGTTCGTTGTGAGTGGTCATTTCAAGTTGTTGTCGCAGGGCCGCTTTAACTTTGGAAAAACCCTTGCATTTTCTAGCCAGAAACACAAGGCCGTTGTTGAACCATTCGAGGTGGGAATAAAAAAGGTGTTTTTGTTGGCGCCAGAATTCCCATTATCCATGTAATGAAAGTGAATGGAGGAATGGTTGTCTTCTATTTTTCGCTTGCATGCATGTTGAAGGGAAGGACAACCAGTAGACGACGAAAAAGAAATTTGACCACATAAAGAAAAAAAAAATCAATTGGACATAGATTTTTCCTGAGGTCACCCGTTCTTTCCCGAATGACCCTCCCCGTTTATGTCTGTCTATCTGAATGTTTTTCTTCTCTCTGATCTCTTTTCTTCGTCTAAGTTACCCGTGACGTCAAACAAGGGACCTTTTTGCATGCCTTGGTAGACGTTTTTCCCCTTTCCTAGGAGGCGTCTGAGGCGGGGATTCATTGCCTTAGGGGTCGGCCCTGTTATCGACTCGAAATGGACCGCTTATGGGGGGGAATACCACGTTGTTGTGGTGGAGCCAGCCCGACTTTTGAGATCCGGGGTTCGCTAAGGCGAGGACGAGTGGTATCCCAGACCACCTCCTAGGGAAAGGACATGCGCCCACTCATGGAAGAGTCTAAAGTTCTCAGCGCCTCGCGTTAAGGGGAGCTGCCATAGCATACACTTTAGTGGTCATTTTAGGGGTCACTTGTGCATGGAGAACTGAGCCACAAGAAGCTCGGTTCATGGCTACTAGTTGGAACAGAGCGCGACTAGGCACTCTTGTCGTGGTTGGCCTCGCCACAAGAAGCGAGGGCCAATGTGGTCGATGTGGTGAGCAAGGCTTGGATAGTTAGAGCCCGAGAACAACCCTTTTCAGTAGGGTCAATGAGGGTCAGGAGGACAAATCAACCAACAAAATTTGAAAGCGGATCCTTGACCTTAATGGGGCATCCGGTGTTCGATTATTCAAGTCGATCGCTGACTTGTATAGTGGTAAACGGATTACTTGCAGATGACATTCACACCAAAATTAGAAAGACAATGAAGTCACCATTAAAGCAATCGTGACCTAGCTCTACTTAAGAATTGGGAGATGTCTGCGTTTCTCTTATAGCAGTCTGTATAAGGCGGAATGAAAGAACTTGGCAATGCACCTCATCAAGTCGAAAAAGTTATGGCAGCCCAACCGTCTGGCAGGCAGAGTGGGGATATTTTGATCAGACGCCACTTGAGCGTCGCCTTGCGTATTGGTCAGAGTGTCGTATGCACGATTGTATTACATATAGGTTGATTTCATAAGATAAGCCAACTTACGTTCACCTGAGTCTTCTTTTGAAAGGGTTTTGTCTGAGTAACTTTTGATTGTCTTTGAAAGAAGGGATTAAGATTGATTGTTATTTTCTTACGCTTGGAATATCACGTCCTAGTCGAACGGCGTACGTTCCGATTTCTGGACATCAGCACCCCAAGGATGGACGACGTTCGGGTTCACTTTGGCGTTTAACCATGCGTACCTATACTACAGCGAACGAGCAAACACCCTCGGTCGGCCTACCTCTGCAATTGCATTATAAAAGTCTTCGCATGTGGGTCGGTAGCTCGGCAGGGATACGTCCCTAAGTGTGGTGAC